GGACTTAGAAAATATTGTCTTTTACTGATGTACTCGGAACTTTGTATTTATTTATCAGTTCCTTTGGATAGGACTTAGAATTATTTTGTGTTGAGGACCTTTGGTGGTCTCACTTACGGGATAGACGGACTTCGTTGTTCGATATTGTCGCGACTCGGAACTTATTATGATTATCGCTTTCATGTTGTTTAGGATTAATGTGTAGTCTTAATGTATTTGTATTTATATTTAAGTTTATATTAAATATGTTATTCCTAATTTAATGACTCTTGATAAGTACTATCGACATCTCATCATGACTTCGTTACGCCTCCCACTCCTTTTGCCCTCCTATAGCCACTCTCTGACAGCGCGCCGGTAAGTGGGAGAAACTCTTATCCTATCCCCTCGGTTTGCACATATTGGTGTCATCCGACAAAACAAGCCATCCGACAACCGAGAGCGGGTCTTCCCGACCCGTGAAGATTAAGCGGTCATTAGGGTTCGACCCGGTGACCCCCTGCTACTCACATCATTCTCCACTGACGACATGCTTCGCCACACTTTCGGCAAATTAAACTTTTTACGGCTTAAATTTATTAGATTCAATTTTTTAAAAAACAAACATGTCGTTTTATTGCATTCATCGGAAAATCAAAACAAGAAATCTGTAATCGATTTAAGGAACAGTTTATTTAATTCATGCAGCTGTAGCAAAAATACCACAGAACCCAGATGTTGGACAGCATTCAACATTCATTCGTCCGCGTGCTGCGACTTGTTTACATGAAAGAGGAAGCAGCTTTGAAAATTTGCTTTATTAGTTAATTACCAAACATTTTCAAGCAACTCGTTTTGATGGAACACTTTCTGTCTTGTTAACATAGAATATGTATCTGTTTATTGTTCAATTGTTAATAATTAAAATAAATAAAATTCTATCTTTACTAAATTACAGCGAATACAAGTAAACTTTTTATATATTATTTACTTCTCTTAAGGTCTTATATTACATCCTGACCGGCTCACGTTATCTTTTTAAAACCTCTGTTTTAAACCAATTAAATGATATTAAAGAGAAAGTTAAAATATTTTCCAAAAAATAAGCTCTTGTTGGATTATGACATTAATGGAATTGCTTTGACAATAACACCATTTTTAGGAAAGGAGAAAAATAAGAAATGTTCTTGTTCAGCGTCCTATAAAAAATATTTCAAAAATTATTAAAAACGAATAATATAAGAAATTAAACACTAATATATACGATAATAGTCTTACCAAATCCCCGTATGGTTCTAATTTGTATGATCTAATAAGATTTGCCAGAGTTAATTTTACGACTGTTTGTGCTAATCTCATACCAATACAAATTCTGGGACCGGCGCCGAAAGGTTGATAAATATACGGATCAATGTGATTTTCTGCAGAAAATCTGTAAATATTATTTAATATTCAGCTCAAAAATTTGCTTTATGCACATTTCTATTATCATTGTTTTACCTTTCGGGATCGAACTTTTCTGGATCTTGCCAGTAATCAGGATGTTTTTGAAGAATAGGAGAACCGATCATTATTCTAGCTCCTTTTGGTATAGTTATATCTTTATATTTAAAATCTTCGGCACAAATTCTATTTATGACTCTAAAAACATACAAGAAGTTTATTAACACAAGTTGGAGAATTGAATTAAGAGCTTTAAAAATATATATTACATCGGTGATAATGGTGATATACGTAATGTTTCTGATATTACTTGATCCATGTATTTAAAGTTCATCAAATCTGAATACTGAATATCATCCTTTAAAGATTCAAAGAGAATGTATTAAATTAGTGATTTTACTTTGTAAAATTTCATAAAGACAAAGAATACTTATAAAAATTTGTATTTACGCTTTCTTTAACATTATTATTAATTTCTTGGCGCATTTTGTCCTGAACTTCAGGATAATGGGATACATAATGTATGCACCATGCTAATGTTATACTAGTCGTCTCATAACTATTAAAATGAAGAAAAATTACTAACAAGTTATATTTTTAGTTTGTAATGTAAAAATAATATGAACAAAATACTACCCAGCAACCATAAATCCTACTGCATTGGCTATTACAGAATCAGTGCTAAGTTTTTTCATTTGAACATTCGAGTCACCTTCTGCATCCAATAAAGTTTGCAATAGATCGGGTGGATGATACTAATGGAAAAGATTAAATTTATTTTATTTAGAAATATTTTAATACTTGATTGCTTCTTGTTCTTTCTTTTGTTCTTTGGGAGTAAGCACAAAATATGGAACTTTTCACATAGAAACACATTTTTATGAATAATACTGACTTTATTTTGTTTAATGGAAAATAAAATCCTCTCCCCTTTTTACCGTATGAAAACGTCTACCTGATAAACGTACAGTGAAGAATTTTATACCTTTTATTTTAGTGGTTTTATTGATTCTAAAGGTTTATGGTTTAAAGGTTTTATGTGTTTTTCTCCTTTTTAGCAAGTTTTAACTTTCATGTTTTGCAAGTATACCCCTTTTAATATATTTTAATAATATTTCATATTTAATTATTTTTTGTTTTTAATACTATGTTACTTCAGCAGTCGCTTTTAAATACAGGGTAATCATAATTTAAGTTTCACTTTGAACCCCTATAAAATGAAAACTACTGGACCAAATATTTCCAAACCTGGAAATATTATAAATGATGTCATGAAATTTCATAACCTTCAAAAATATAATTAATTCAAAAAGTCACCAACAGAGGGAAATCGAGGTTTATTCCTTAAACTGACATCATAACACACTTTACAAATAACAGTAATGGCGATAGATGTTCATTGTGCTGTCCACCATTTCTTGCAACCAGGTGAAAGCTCAATATCGCGCTCTCCAGAGTAGCTCAAAGCATAACAAGCGGAATGGTATGAATATGCCATGGAATTGCACCTATCAACTCTGACAAACGTTTGATGTCGCGATAAATGGTGCTTTAGCAGTAAAAGCATATGATGCGCAATACAAATTAGCATAAACACTGGGTGTTCATAAAGCGCCATTTTTCTCCTGGTGGTGACTTTTTGAACTTATCATTTTTTGCAAGTTATGAAATCTCATGACATCCTTTATAATATTTCCAGGTTTGGAAAAATTTGGACTAGTAGTTTTCATTTTATAGATTCAAAATGAAACTTAAATTATAATCACATTGTATAATTTCGAGTAATCTTATTTTTTGTGAGTTTTACATGCATTTACGATATAAGTAGCTGTTAATTTTAATGTAATTTTTCTAGTTTTATCAATTTGTACAATAAGGACTAAAGAAAGACAAATAACCCGAAATGCATTTCCATTGTATAAAATAAATTTATGTTATCCATCAAATGTGTTCCTATGCGATAGTTCTACGAAGTTTTACATAACAATTTTGCGCTTACTCCCAATGATCGAGATATTTTACTGTATATTGACGAGTGTTTACATACATTAGATTTCTTGCGAGAATCAATGATCTGTCTACAGGTATCGATGACAGTTCTTACAGAAGAAAGCTTCATTACATTTCTGGCAGCATCTAGAAACCATCTTAAATACGTGGGAACAGGTTCGAATTCCGGAAAACAAACTGCATATCAAAAACATTTTTAATATAGAAATGAAAAATACCAGCTTCCTACTATATATATAACGATTTTAGTATATAATATTTACTTGATAATACGGGTAAAATATCAGAAGTATCGACATTGAAAATATTATATATAATTTTCACAAAATTTGTAATTTCCCCACTTTGTACATTTGTTTCAATTCCGAAAGCAGATCGNAGACTTAATTTTGAGGGTCGAGATGAGTTTTGTAAGAAGCTATAAATGTTAACAACAAGTAAAATCTTATTAAGTTCGACCCCACGCGAAATACGACACGTGACACCCACTATATCTCCATCCCTTGGACCATTCACAACCAAATTTTAATACCATCAATGCCCCTTAAGTACAAGCTACTACAAATTTCGTTTCTTAATCTTCACCTCATCTTGAGATATTAAACGAAACACACGCTAAGACACGCGTTGGCATGTATTTTAATATCTCAGGATGGGGGAAGATTTAGAAACGAAATTTGGCACAGTAGATTGTGTATAATTGGTATTTATGCTATTAAATTTTGGCAATGAAAGGTTGAAGGGAAAAGGAGGTAGAATGATCTAAAGGATGGAGAAATAGTGAGTGTCACATGTCATATCTCTCATGGAGTTGGGCTTAATGAAGATGTTACTTGTTATTAACATTTATAGGTATTATATTAAAAAGTGATTTTTAAAATAATATCTCTAACAGCCGTGAAAGTTACGCAACTCGTTGCTAAATGTTTTTATATATTATAATATCGCGTTACTGCAATTCTTGTCTCCGCAGACATTGGAGTGAATGGCTTGGCAACGTGTAGCGAAGAAACGCGTTGATTAAGGGCCATTAATGTCTATTATTATACAGACCATGATAATAGTCATGATGATTGTTTGTTAAGGCCCATGCCTTAACAAACAATGAATACGCCGAGCGATGCGCTATCGCTCGCTCTGTATTCCAGCTTATGTTTANAAAGTGTTGATGAATATTAAAATATTCTTCTTTCTGTTTTTGTATATTTTTTAGAAATATTTGAATCGGATCATCCATAAGTGTTGTCACCTAAAAATATCAAACGTTAAAAATAAATTAAAAATGTAGAAAAGAATTTTAATTAATTAAAGACAATTAAACGAGAATAATTACCATTTTAATTTTTCCAGAAGTAAACGACATACTAATGACAGATCTCGTATTTTTCCATGTTTCATCCTTTTGTATTTCTAAAAGGTCGAGCATTAACTTATGAGGAATTCCTGCATCAGGTAATAGTAACTAATAGCAGAAAAATATCAATTAAATCCATTAATTAATTATCATTATTAAAATAAGCATTAAATATCAAACATTTACGTCTTTATTGGAAAAATTCTTGAATTCTTTTACTTGAACGGTTTTGATTAAGTCGACGTCAGTACAAACGATAAAAGGTTTGGCTCCAAGAAAGAATCTGTGATAAATTCATGAATAACAATTTGTGTAGAAAATAGACGAAAACATTGCACTTCTGGCACGCTCAAACCAATGCTGGAGAGAACGTGCAAGAAGCCTCACCCTGTTCTCCCTGTCATGTTTTGACGTCGTCCATCCAATTCTCATTAAGTATTTACCGGACAAAAAATGTTATGTGATAATTTTGTGACGTATTTATGACACTGGCTCGCTATCTTTTATATAAGCCGAAATTGGATATGGCCCACGAATAGCTCACTACCTATTATCTATAGCCTACTCTCGTGCACTTGTACTTAGCTATACATAGCAGAATTAAGATAAACTTGGTACAATAATTTCGTCGACATCCTGTAAACATGAAACATTAAATAATTGTTTATGTGGAAAATTTATTTTTGATGTGTGTATGAAAGCATGTTTCTTTGTATACTTACTGTACACCTGTATTTACATTTTTATAAATACTACATGCTCGAATTTCAGTTTCATGAACTTATGAATTGTTTTCATAGCTGCTTTTTCGTATCTGAATTCTCCTTGTTTAATACTTGGAAGAAATCCTTATTGAATCGTTATAGATTTTATATAATGCGTATTAAGTCTAGTATTGTTTTTAATGTATGCTTAATAATACATGCATTATTTTAGGCTAATGTTAAATAATGATTAAGAATAGACTAGAAATATCTATCTATATATATATATATATAAATGGACGTGTGTGTCCCTATATTTCACTTTTTAACCAAAACTACACATCGCACATGAATGGTGTTTGTATGTGGTAGTAGCCTTAAGTCTCCATTCGTGCACTATGGTGGTTGCGTCTCGATAGCTATAAGGGTGCGGGAGATATGGGGCTGAAAGTGGTTGACTTCGAAGATTTTTTATTCGATTTTAAAAATGTTCAAACCGTTTTAAATTCGAATTTGTATTCGAATTCGTATTCGAATTCGAATTCGAATTTGTTAGATTATAGAACGATTGTAAACGTTCCAGAAAATTGATCAAATTGAATATAGTTCGTTTGACTGGACGTAAAAATTCTTTAATTAGTCTGGAAACGGAGGACCTAATTCTTGCATTCTGTGCTATAAGGGTGTGGGAGATATGGGGTTGAAAGTGGTTGACTTCGAAAATGTGTAACAATGGAAGTGTCAATAAGGGAAGTGTTAACAGTGGAAGTGTTAACAATGGAAGTGTTGAGTAACAAAGGAAGTGTTAATATAAAGCGGCATGCAAGATTTACAGGCAGTTTTTTGCGTTTTTGCGGGAAATCGAACATATTTTTAGACTCGTAAAAATTCTCTAATTAGTCTAGAAACGGGGGACCTAATTCATGTATTCTGTGAAAACGTATAAGATTGGCTATAATGTAATTATCTTAATCTTCACTATCGTTACTTTTTGCCCAGCGAAGCGGGTCCTTGCAGCTAGATTCTAGATTACTTAGAAAAACAGTCTTTTATATATAAAAAAGACTATATTACATACAAATAAAAACCCAGCGAAGCGGGTCCTTGCAGCTAGTATGAAATATTTTTATTATATATAATTCTATGAAATTAATTATTATTAATTTCATTATTATTCTATAATTTTTAATTTTGTAAAATAAAAGAAAACATTGAAAGTGAATTTATAAGTATTTTACTGTACTGTACATTAAACATACCCGAAGACGTTTCCATATTTTTCTTTCCATTCCCCAATACACTTATTTCTCTGTACAAAATAAACAAAGAAATTGTACAATCATTTATATTTTTTTGAAAGTAAATGATATTTAAATTATACCTTTTCATGAAATTCTTTCATATTTCCAGTTATGAAATGAGGTTTTGGTCCCGGAATACCGTATCTTTGGAATAAATTCATTCTTCTCTTTCTCCATCTAATTTGATATTATTTACATTTTATTAATTGGTATCACGAATATTAGTAGTATTAAACACTAACTAATTAGCATTTGTTAATTGTTGATTCGCTCACCAGTGGCTGCAATGCCACCTCGGGAATGTGTTGCTCCCTGGTGCTAGTTCTAATTTTCGCGCCACTTACGAATTTGTGAAAATATATAGTAAATCTCTATTTATTAATCACCATCAAAACGTCTTTGAATTGAGTTTGAATCATCTGGCAACATTGTTATGTTAGTTACTCGTCTATAGAAGCTTAATCCTCGCAGGTGCGTGAGTAGTGAGTGGATGAAGCAACTGAACACTAGTAGTTGGTCACGAGTTTATGCCTGGCTACGTGAAATTTTCCGAGTTCTTTTACACCTGTCTGATACATAAGTAGTAACCATTTTTTCATTAAAAGTCTTCCCAGAAGGCATCTCTCTAGGTAGATCGCATCATGTTGTGTTTCCTTATTACATCAACCCATTACTCATATGAATATATTAATTGTTTCAATAACTAACGCGTTCCGATCCCAAATACGGAGGCATAAAAAGTCAATTAATCGAGATATATAATTTTAAAAATGGTTTCTGTATTATAAACGACTCAACTGACCAGATAATATAGTACGAATAACTCTTTATTTATACAACTAAACACTTCTACATCCAGCTGGTTCCTTCGAGCTACTCTCGCTCCCTTTCCGTCTCGCCACCTCGGCACCTACTCGATTACATTTCGTTTATTTAAATCGTCAAAATATATTACATTACATTTAATGTTTATCCAAATCATCAACATATATTACAGTTTCAATTAGGAAAGTGAACGAATTAATTTTGAAGCTCATATCATTTTAAAAAATTTCGTTTTTTGCAGTTGTTTTTAATATTTCAAGAAACCACGTAAATACAGAATATTTACGGAATTTATTTACAATATAATATAATATTATAATATTTACAGAATTTAATTACAATAGTTAAACTGATGTTCTCAAATGGACAACTGAGGATGGCCTCATTAGGTTGAAAGCGTTGGTATATAAGCAAATAAATGTTTCAGCAACCAAAGATGCTTAGTGAGGATTTTAGTAATCATTTTTTCTACTGAGTTTGGATTCGGTTTACAATGGTTATATTTTTACCATTATGTGTAGTCCTTATTTTGTCCATGTTTGTTTCATATCGTTTAGAAGTTGGGCTGAAGACATCATCCCTTTCTAATGATGCTGTAGCAGATGCTCGCACCGAAGAGGAGCTACATTTGAATCACTAGATCAAAATCAGTCAATTAGAAAGGCTCATGAAAATATTTCAGAGAATGTACCAAATATCACTCTTTCTCTTAGAGACTGAGCAAGAAAACTTCAATTTTATGAGGTCAAGGGTACCAAAGGTGTTCGTGTAATTCAACCAAATGAAAATCCCCCCAAAAAAGAAAAATTATGTAACTCAAAATGTTACAATAGTTTGCCATGTTTGAATAAGCAGTAAGAATTATTTAAGTTTTATACCTTTTCCCAACAATTTTTGATATTTTTGTACACATAATTATAATATTAAGCTAAAATAGATATTTCTTAGTTTCTTTATATCCATTAAATCGTTCTAATATTAATAAAACAAAGAAAACGTACTTTTGATTCATTTGATCAAAATTTGTTTAAATCCATAAGCTCCTTTATTAAATACAACAAAAGATGGAAAATTTCATGATATTTATCAAATTTATGAACTACATTTTGGAAATTATGCAAAAGTCGTTTTACAAGTAATATATTCAGCGATATCTTACCCAATTCATTTGGGAATTGTATAAAATCGCCGGAAAAAGTGAGAAATTTAGTGAAATTTAACAAATCATCAAGATGATTGGTGATTATAAATAAGAACCGGCGATTAAGCATAATCAACTTTACTATAACACATATATTCATGAAGTAGTTAACGCAGAACATATTACAATATGATTTAGTTTCTGAGATCGTTGATGGTGGTATGCCACAGACGAATATATTACACCTTTATCCATGCATGATAATTGTGTTCTGAATGATTGCAATATAACCCATTTATCCACTCGTGTCTTCAATTTATAAATACAATAATGTTTGTAACTCTCTAAACTACTGCGCAGATCTTTACAATTTACAGATTTCTACAAATGATTTAGGACCTCGGCCTGATCCTTAAGTTTTATTAATTGCGATTTTAATTACTTTTTTATTTTTCGTAATTTTTCGTCCGATGGTTCTTTTTATTTTTTATTATTATTTGAAGACAAGTTCGCCCAAATAGGAATCACCATTTCTTACTTTTGCGTTGTAGACAATACATTCCCGGCGACCGACCTTCTTTTCTAGGCTACTAGCCGCCAAAATGTTTAAAAAAGTCCTTTTAAAAACACAAAAAAATATCCGATTAAAAACACAAAGATTTTCTAAAATCAGAACTGGTGTTATAC